ATTGTGTAAAGATTCGGTCCGTTATACGCCTTTGCATCAGTAAGTGTTCGATCATTAGTCGAAATCACTCACCATGCTCTAAATCTCGACTTCGATAACTTCTTGTACATACTTTGTGTTCTTTTCAAGTCGCAATAGCTGTAGAGACCGACATTTTACTTGATTGCAGCAAATAATTGTAAATAATTGCGATTTACGTCGAAGTCAAAATGTCTTGACATTTACAACCTAGTTGGAATGCGTGACAACCTACACAGGAAGCCTATAAATCAGGGGTCCCGCAAAAGAAGCTATAATTAAAAACCGCTGAGGTGTCTATATTTTATATTGATTTAATATCGTGTTGAAATTGAATAGAGTTGTTTTCCATTTTGTGGTACAATTCATTTACATCTTTATTATTTAAACAAAAACACCTATTCACATGAGTGTTAATTTTTTGTACTGTTGTTATATTTTGGCTTCACCTAAACGCCATTGCTCCAGCAATATTTTRYTTSTAATCAGATCATCAAAGAAAATAAATTGTGTGCAATTATCTTTCTTTGGAAACAAAACCGCAGTAACATGTATAATTATATTTTTTTGCCCCAAATCCATCTAGTAGTTACTAATCAACAGTGGACTAATTAAAAACACTCACTAATTAAAAACACCGGGCAGATTTATTGTAGTACAGAACTGGACCCTCTTTTCTCAATTACTATAATATTATACTTAAAGTAAAAGTTAAAAATCCAAAGCGAGCGCTCAAGAAAATTGAGAACGTTGATTCAAATAAAAGGTTATTTAAATAATAGTTTCTCTGCGGCGCAAGGATAAAGGWGGGTYCAGTTCTGRAMTAKGCAGATCGTGAATTACCAGACCGCGCGCTAGCCAATCATAGCGAGCGAACGACTAGGATATCGGTCCGAAAAAAAATAGCGAATGTTAATTACTTCTCAATACAATATGCAATGATGAGAAAGATTAAAAATGATGAAAATACTTCTCGTTTACTCCTTTATAATTCAAATCTTYGCACGCAAGTTTACTTAATATGCAATGAGTTTGTATCGCACTTACATAATGAACGTGTACATGTATAGAAGTCAGTCAAAAAGATAAATTATCCAAAATCTATTCTATCGAGTCAACTGTGTGAGCCTTACCTAGTTTGTATATTATTTATAGCAAAACTGAGCACGTTGGTGTCCACGTACCATATTTGCGTCTCATGTTTTAAATTTAGCACTCATGTAAATTTGTGTTTTTTGAATAATAAAGATGTAAATAAATTATAAATTGATATTAAATCAATATAAAATATAGACACCTCAGCGGTTTTTAATTATAGCTTCTTTTGCGGGACCCCTGATTTATAGGCTTCCTGTGTAGGTTGTCACGCATTCCAACTAGGTTGTAAATGTCAAGACATTTTGGCTTCGACGTAAATCGCAATTATTTACAATTATTTGCTGCAATCAAGTAAAATGTCGGTCTCTACAGCTATTGCGACTTGAAAAGAACACAAAGTATGTACAAGAAGTTATCGAAGTCGAGATTTAGAGCATGGTGAGTGATTTCGACTAATGATCGAACACTTACTGATGCAAAGGCGTATAACGGACCGAATCTTTACACAATATGCAAATTTCACCTTTTTTGTTCGTGTTAAATCAAATCTGTATCTCTTCTTTCCTATTTTCAGGTTAACTCGGCGAATTATCCAGTTTAGAACACGATGTTCAATCTTTGACACGATTGGTAACAAAAACTAGATTTGCATATACTAGTCTTAACAAAATTATCTGTTTAAATTCAAATTCGCCTCCCAATGAAAATATTTTACATCAAAACACGAAAATAGATTCTTATAGTTTAAATGAAGTCAATTAGAGTCTGTTTAAAGGAGTCTAACTGGTATTTTGTATGGGTTAATTCCATTGAATTTTGTGATATTTTCGAAATAGGGTGAACTAAATGCGTC